TGACTTTAGTCTCTTATGATTGTGGCTAGTGAGAATCCAAGAGCCTGATGAATTTCAAGAATACTGGGAAAATGGAGCTTTTGGATCTATAAGCTAGCTGGATCTTCACTCTTTTGACACAGAATAATAATACTATCTAAAGAAACTCTGCATCAGCAGACATTGGCTCCCAAAGGAACTTACTTTCTTATTCTACTGTCTGTTAGATATTATTATTATTGAGTTTATGTCTAACCTGACATTTTTTAAAATTATCCTTTCGATTTGACTTTTTTACTACTTAAAACTGTTAGAATAGTTGAAGTGCAAAGACAAATGGAGTAGCTAGAAGGTTATCAAAACAATAACAAACCTTATGTTTGTCTAAGAACATGAGAACACTTATCTTGTCCCTTGTTTTACTTCTCTTCCCTTTCCCTAGTTATTTAAAGGAGTGGTGTATGTGGGAAAAAATTGAAAAGTAAATTTATTTGAAATTGAATTCAGTGAGAAGGGTAATAGGTGATGTGTATAAAATATCTGTTTGTGACAAATAAGTATTACTTTTTTCACAAATAAGTATTACTTTTTTCCTCCTACAATCACTTTACCACTCCAGCAGTAAATATGGAATCTGCTTCTACAGACACTACTTTAAACAAGAAATAATACAGTAACATTTTATCATCTGTGGCTAACAGAACTTCTGTGAATAAAAAATACTTGCTACATAGTATTGACGGGTCAATTTTCTGTCTTGTCTTTTCTCAATCATTAGGTCTTGGCTGTTCAACTATACTTTCTCCAGAAGGATCAGCTCAGTTTGCCGCTCAGATATTTGGATTAAACAATCATTTGGTATGGGCCAAACTGCGAGCAAGCATATTAAATACGTGGATTTCCTTGAAGCAGGCTGATAAGAAAATTAGAGAATGCAGTTTATAAACACTTCATTGCATTTTTTACAAGCAAGCTCTACAAATTCCTAGTTTAGCTGCAGAAAAAAATCATGCAAGATGAAAAGATTCTAAATTAGAGAAAACAAATAAAATGTATTGAATAAATGGTTCTGTAGATTCATGAATTAGAAGAACATCTGTATATATTTATCAATATATTTCTTTGTAAGTAGTGAAGTTACTATATGGGCATTTTTAGATGAAGCCATTTTACTTAATAGGAGTCCCTGGTTGGCGCAGATGGTTAAGTGCTTGACTACTAACCGAAAGGTTGGCAGTTCTAACACCCATAGAGTCACCTCTAAAGAAGGGGATGGCAGTCTGCTTCTGAAAGATCATAGCCATTAAAAACCCTATGAAGTACAGTTCTACTGTAACAGAAGGGGGGGGTCGCCATGAGTCAGAATCAACTCGACTGGTTTTTGGTTTGGTACCCACTATATGGTCATTGTTAAGTTGAAATATATTTTTTAAATGCC